AGGGCGCAGAGCGCCACTGCCGGTCCCCGGAGGGTCCCGCCCTCCTCGGCGGTCCCTCGGCCTCCTGCTTTGCGAGTATCGGAGAACAGCCACTCTGTTCTTTCTCTCCTTTCTCCCCCACTCTTCTGTTACATCCTCCAAGGATGCAGCTCTCACCACTCGCCAGACCCAAACATGAATTTTTATTGAGCTACAAGATGAGTTTGCTCCAGAATGAGAAAGAAAAAGTTGGGAGAGAGGGCTAAATCTTACGAAAGATACATATTTATTTTTCGTAGCGAGCGCAGAATACTAGTGCTTCTCAAATTTTAATATGCCTCCGATTCACCTGGGGATTTTGTTAAAATGCAGACTTCGATGCATTTGGTCTGGGTTGGAGCCTGATATTCTTCATTTTTAACAAGCTCCCAGGTGATTCAATGGCTGTTGGTCGGATAACTAAACTCGAGCAGAGAAGCTCCATCTTCCCTGTAGCTCGCGCTGGCCATGTGGGCCATTTCAACTGGATCCTGTCTACCCAGGCTCGTGTAACAAATATGTGGGCCCCGATATGCAGAAGAGGAAGGCAAATATCCAAATACAAAGAAAGAACAGTTGCCCTGATGCATTTGGGGCATCAAGATACCACTGTTGAAACAGCCCCGAAAGACTAAGAAGGTGGAAGAATGGAGTGACACTTTGTGCTCACCTGGTCCCCTCTCCCCCACACACACACACAAAAGCAAAAGATTAACCCAAATAATTGCCAAAAACTAAAAAGTAAAATGTCTATCAACTGGTGAATGGAGAAACAAATTGTATTGTATTATTTGATGCAACAACATAGGTGACTCTCAAAAGCACGCTAAGAGAAAGAATCGAAATTCAAAATATTCGTTCTGTATGATTCCATTTGTAAGACATTCTGGAAAAAGTCAAACGGTTGGAATCAAAATCAGTCTGATGGTTTCCAGGGATTGAGGATGAGGGTTGCAGATAACTTATTACAGAACTAGGGTTGCAGATAACTTATTACAGAACTAGGGTTGCAGATAACTTATTACAGAACTAGGACTGTAGCGTATATTGGTTATGCTGGTGTTGATGTGACTGTGTTTGTTGTTGTGTAGCAGTGAGTCAATTCCGACTCATAGTGAGTGACCCTATGGAGTAGCGTAGAACTGCCCCGTAGGCTTACCTAGGTTGTACTCTTTCCAGGAGCACATCACCAGCTCTTCCCTCCTGTAGAGTGGCTGGTAGGTTGAAACCACCAACCTTTTGGTTCGCAGCTGATCACATAAACAGTGAGCCACCAGGGCTCCTTACACATTTGTCAAAGTTGACAGATGTAACTGCACCCCTAAAATGAGTGACTTTTCCTGTAGGTAAATGGTGCCTGTTGGGAGCAGTGAGGTGCGTGTGGGTGCCAGAGCTGGCTTACCACTGTCAGGAGGGCTATAGAGTTGACACTTGCGTCAGACTGGGTGGCACTATAGACCACCTCTAGGATGCTGACATTCAATGACTTTCATTTTTAATTGCCTGCCCTAGTCTGAATGCATGAAGGCTAAATAAAGTGGATCAGGTCAAAATTTAAAAATACCAGGGACAGTTCAAGGTAATAAGAAAATGTGATGCAGGGAAAATGTGATGCAGGAAAATTTGGTAAATTCCACATAATAAAGTAGTTTCTCAAGTAAAAAATATATATAAATAAAAGTTCCAAAAGATTTAGCATTCAGGGGTTTGGTCTTGCTTCCATGAACACTACTGAGGTCACCCATGGGCTTTAAAGCCCCTCAAATTTTATGCAAATTTTCAGGTGCACTATATTTTTCCAGGAAGTATGTTGGGGAGAGGTTCCTAGCCTTGATAATGATATTCAAGAAGGAGACTAATATCTCCTACAGCTGCTTATTTGCGTACAAAGATAAGGAAAATGGAAGGACAAACAGCCTTAAGGTCCTTTGGGTATGTGAACTTCAACTCTGGGAATGATTGAGTATGCCTGGTTCACCTCCTTTGCCTCTCCTTTCCTCCCTCCCTCCCTCTCTTTCTCTCTCTCTCTCTCTCTCTCTCTCTCTCTCTCACACACACACACACACACACACACACACACTTCTTTTTGGGTCAGTTGACTTTAGGATTGTGATGAGAGTTAAATACATTAAAGTCTTTGAAAACATTTGGATAACTGTAAAGACCTCTTTAAATTCAATCGTTGTTATACTTACACTGAATCATTTCTACCCTTCTCACCATATAAACTGGGCAGGAAGGGAAAACTTTCTTTAGACTTGTCCTCTTTTATCACTCAACTCTTTCCCAGTTGTTTAGAATGAATCCATCCAAAGTACAGGACATCAGCTTTCTGGGATATGTGATAGGTTTCAGTACTAATTGTTCGGTCTCAAGGCACCAGTCACAGTCTTTTTAAAGTTGGTTCAATAAAAATCAAAAGCAGAGTGCTTTATGTCTCTTAGTTACTCAGAGGCAAACACTCTGACCTTGGGTATGTACACTGACATAGTTTCGTGCTGCTGAAGGAGGTAAGAAAGAGTCTTGCCTTTCTGTGGTGTTCAGTACGATGCTTTGCAGTTCTCCTATGTTTTCTCATTGACTCCTCCAGCAGCCCCAGTAACACTGCAGGGGAATATAGCACAAGCTGGACTGAACTCAAGTCTGAGATGTGTTCCAATGCTTATTTCACTTGCCACATTCTAGGTCTTTGACTTTGGACAAATTGTTAGCCTCTCGGAGCCTTTGATTCCTCATCTGTAAAGTGGGAATAACAAGAGCATCTGGATCTGAGAGTTGCTGTCAGATTCAATAAGATAATGTGTGTAAAGTCTTTGGCACAGTACCTTGCTTATACTAATAGCTCAAGTCTAGTTAGCTGTTGTGATTGTGGATCATATTACAAGATAGCTACTGTGGACCCAGTCTCTAAGATGGGTCTCAAAGATCCTTACCTCCTGATCTTCCCCTCCAACACTGAAAAAAGATGCCTGTGTGCCCAGTGGGGACAGTGGTGGCTCAGTGGTAGCATTCTCACCTTTCACACAGGAGGCCCAGGTTCAATTCCCAGCCAGTGACTTCATGTGCAGCCACCACCCTTCTGTCAGGGGAGGCTTGCATGTTGCTGGGGTGCAGAACAGGTTTCAGCAGAGCTTCCAGACTCACTAAGATGGACTAAGAAGAAAGGCCTGGCAATCTGCTTCGGAAAATCAGCCAACGCAAATCTCACGGCTCACAGCAGAACGCTGTTAGACTTGCTTGCTTTGGACATGCATCAGCAGGGACCAATCACTGAAGGAGGACATCAGGTTTGCTGAAAGAGGGGGCCAGCAAGGGCTGGGAATTTGCATTTTCACCCCAGATATGCTGAATCAGAATCTACGTCTTAACAAGATCCCCAGCAAGGAATTAAACCAGAATGAAAGTTCAAAGCCCTGGTCTGAGTTCACCCTTGTGGCTATTGTGCCAATTTACCTCACCGAGGATCTGTTTCTCTCGCCCTTGCTGGCCTCCTAATTTCACTGACATGATGTCCTCCTAGCATGATGTCCGCCTAGCAACATGCAAGCTCCCACTGACAGACAGCTGGTAGCTGTGCATGAGGTGTGTTGGCTAAGAATCAAACCTCACTCAAACATGCTGGTGACCATGAGGATGACGCAGGACTGGGAGAATGTTTCATTCTACATAAAGTCTCTGGAAGTTGGGGTCGACTTGATAGCAGCTATCTATCTATCTATCTGTGTATCTATCTATCTATCTATCTCTATCATAGGGTAACATAGAGCATTTAGCAGAGTTCCTGACACAGAATTCCTATTTGTTCAGCCCTTAATTGTATTACAGACTTAGGACCTCTAGGTGAGGAGTGAGTGATACCAGGAAACATGGAAGTTGAACCTGCAGAAGAGCCTGCCTGATGTAGCTTTTGAGACGATCCCAAATGATCTTACCTCTTGGTATTCACCTCCTTGTGTAGTACTCTCCCTTTGAGCATGGACTGGACTTAGTCACTCGATTCTAACTAATAGAATATGCTAACAGTAATGGGATGTCACTTCCAAGATTAGCTCACAAAAAGACTCTGGCTCCCATATTTGGACTCTTTCTCCCAAACTTTCTCATTTGCCACCTGCCATGTGGTAGTGGCCCTATGAAAATGCACAAGAACTAATAAAAGCCTTGCTCCAGTCAGCAACTAGTAAGGAACTTAGCCCTCAGCTCAACAGCCCACAAAGAATTGAACCTGCCAACCACCACATGAGTAAGGTTGGAAGCAGATCCTTTCCTGGTCAAGCCTTCAGAGGAAACCACAGCCCTGGCTGACAGCTTGACTGCAACTTCATGAGAGACCTTGAGCTAGATACATCAGTTAGTTAATCTGTGTCTGATTCCTGACCCAGGAAAACTGAGATTATAAACATCTGTTGTTTTAAACCATTAAGTTCTGAGATAATTTTGTTACACAGCAATAGATAACTAATACAAAGCATGCAGCCAACACCTACCACCATGAAATCTCACTTATCAGGTAGCCTGACGAAGGCAGTGTGAGAGAACCCCATCATTACTCAAGAGTCTGCTCTGAGCATTGTACATTTATTATCACATTTAGCGTTCAGGACAGTCTCTGAATTAGATGTTATTATCCCCGTTGCACAAATGGGGAATTTGAGGCTCAGAGAATTTAAGTGACTAGCCCAAAATAACCCAGTGGATTACTGAGATTTGAAGTCAAATCCTTTTCATTCTAAAGGATTCACACAACATCGTACTGAACCA